TATATGCTTGATACACATATATCTACATATACCCACACTGTTTGAGTGACTGTTCAGTGCAGAACCATCACAGCACAGAGAGCTGAACAACAAAGATGGAGAGTAAATTCACTACCTAAAAGTAGATTCTTTTAGATTCCTTTGTCTTGTTTATAGCACCTGTCTACTTGAGATCACACAATTCAGCAGAGCTACGATAATGATAAACACCAAGTCCAGCACAGAGAGGCTGAGTGAATGTGGTCTGGACTCTGTGGAGGAGAGTCATGGTGTCAGAGACGCTGTAGAAGGACAAAATACCTGCAGGGTGATCCAGGTACACTCCCACTCTGGAGGACTGAGGGCCTGAGATGGAAGTGATGATACGGTTATGTCTGAATTGATAATGATTCATCAAACAATATACTGCCCAAGATGTGTCATTTTTCCCAAATGCAGTTTCATATACTGGTCTTTTCCTATGTGCAGATGTGACTGCTACTGAAACTGCAGATCCACTCCATTCCACCTCCCAGTAACATCGTCCAGTCAGACTCTCTTTGCTCAGGACCTGAAGTCTGATGATGTCACTGCGTGAACCTGGTGGAGGAATAACTGGTAAAGATCCTGGCTGATTTTCTGTTGCTCGTCTGTTCCCTCCAGACAATCTGACGCAATTGCCTGCTGTGTTTGGATCCAGTGTGATCTGACATGAATACTGTAAGAATTCAGCTCTGGTCTTGGGCTGAGGTTGTGCCAGCAAAACATCCACTTCAGTCTTTGTCAGTGAGATCTTGGTCCACACATCACTAACAAAGTCCTGTAGTTTATCTCTGGCCTCTGACACAGCTGCAGTCACATTCTCAAAGTGTCGCACAGGGCGGATATTGATCCTGGATGAGTCTTTAGAGTCAGTGAGATGTGACAGTGAGGGGTAGCTCTGTAGAAACTGGTTGTGGTCCTCTGTGTGTGAGAGCTTCTCCAGCTCAGTGTCTTTCCTCCTCAGATCAGTGATCTCCTGCTGCAGTTTCTCCTGAAGCTCTTTGACTTGTCTAACTTTAGTTTTCTGCTGAGATCTGATGTGCTGCTTCACATCAGATCTTCTTTTCTCAATGAGACGGATCAGATCTGTGAAGATCTTTTCACTGTCCCTCACTGCTTTATCAGCAGATTGATTGATAGCCTCCACCTCCTGCTGAAGCACCGTCACATCTTTCTCTCTGTTCTGGATTCTGCGCTGGATCTTTTGTTGACTCATCCCGAGCTCTTTCTGCCTCTCAGTCCGTTCTGCAGCAGCTAAGACTGTGTCGTGGCCTTTATGTTCATCCATGGAGCACAGATAACAGATACACTTCTGATCAGTGCGGCAGAAAATCTCAATCACCTTGTTGTGACGAGTACAGATGTTCTCCTGAAGCTTCTTGGAGGGGTCGACCAGCTTGTGTTTTTCAAAGGCAGGGGATTCATAGTGAGGCTGGAGGTGCTGCTCACAGTAAGACACCAGACACTGCAGACAGGACTTGACAGCTTTCAGCTTTCTCCCAGTACAGAAATCACAGGCCACATCTTCAGGTCCTGCATAGCAGTGATCAGCTGGAGCAGCTTGGAGTCCTGTCTTCTTCAGTTCCTCCACTAAATCTGCTAACATGGTGTTTTTCACCAGAGCAGGCCTCGACATGAAGGTGTGTCTGCACTGAGGACAGCTGTGGATTTGCCTCTGATCCGCTTCATTCCAGTGGCTTTTAATACAGTTCATACAGTAGTTGTGTCCACAGGCAATAGTCACTGGATCCTTCAGTAGATCCAGACAGATGGAACAGCAGAGTTTTTCTTGGTCCATTTGAATTCCTCGCTGCGCCATTTCACCTCTCAGAGACAGTGAATGTCTGAAAGGCATTGAGTGCATTCTGTTCATAAGATAGAGGGCTTATCAGATCAGACTTTGATTGGTCCTGGAAGACGAATGGTTTGGACTTGGAATGTGTTTATAGGCCCTCTTTACAACACAGAGCAAAGATCATACTGTACATAAAACTTGATGTGAAAGCAAAATGATTATTGCTGTCAATATACACCTAAAATATTTTGCAATGATTTATATTGCTGACATTTCTACACCCAGTTGTCCCAGAAATACAGATTAACTTTGGCTTAGAGAAGCTGTGTGACATTAATATGTTTCAGTTGGCCACAAGTGTAGATTTTGGGGGGTGCAGTACACAGCCCCCCCTCAATATCTAGAACATGCACTTTTGTTCCCTCAATAGTAAACATGAAAGTAGTGGCCAGAAATAGATGCACAACAACTGATGCGGAATTACACAAACTGGTATATAAAAATTTCCTAAAATCAAGACTTTGATCCTGAAATTAGCTCATGGAGCGCCCAAATCAGCCCTTTCATATGTGTCGCCCTCAATGTTGAAAGAAACTCATCATAACGTAATCAAATCAATATTCTATTTGGTGAACAAGGTGCACATAACTGCTTGTAGCATTTAGTGTCAAGTCCTTTCTGTAGAGGAAGTAGAGCTGATTAAGAATATCAAATATAAAGATTAATCGATGCCATGTGTCCATAAATAACAAAATCATTATTAACAGTCTTTAACATTGTTTCATGTAAGATACAATATTTTGTAAGAAAAAAATAAACAAACACGAAATTACCACACTCTGTTCATGTAATATTTAAAATCACAGCACAGAGAGCTGAACAACAAAGATGGGGAGTAAGTTTATGAACTAAAAAACGGGTCTGAGGACCTGAGATGGCAGTGAGAACGGTGTTATGTCTCAATGTATAAAAGTTAGGAAATCAATATACTGCCCAAGATGTGTCATTGTTCCCAAATCCACTTTCACATGCTAGTCTTCTCTTACGTGCAGATATGTCTGCTACTGAAACTGTACCACCACTCCACTCCACCTCCCAGTAACATCGTCCAGTCAGACTCTCTGCTCAGGACCTGAAACCTGTACATGTCACTGTGCCAATCGGGTTGAGGGGGAAAATCTAATTGTAATGAAACACTGTAATGACACAAAATATTTCAGTGGGTTCTGAAAATACAGCGACCCTTTAGAGCAGTGATTCTCAAACTTCTTTCTGTAAATATAGAGTAGTTCAGTGGCCGGCTCTTCAGCTGGACAAAAAGTCTTCCTTTAAACTTCAGCATGGCAGCCTGTCAGTGAAGGAGACAGTCAGATTTGTTCATCATGTCATTTTGTCACCACCAGGTGTCTCCCTTGGTTTTGTTTTACCTCTGTGACAGTAGAGGCCTTTATCACAGTGGACTTTTGGACAGTAGGAAAAGCACAGGTGTTAAAATAACATTAAGAATGCCTCTGTTTTGTTCAAGTGTCCCAGATGGACAATTAAAAAATATATAAAGATTGAAATCCATGAAGCAGAACCAAAGAAATTTTTATTCCACACATTCATAAAAAATACTTTCAGTCCTTGAGGGAATAATCAACTTTATTAAATGATCTAATTAATAAATCCTGGTTCAGTTTCTCCATTCATTTAATCCACATTGAGTCTGATAAACCAGAATGTCCGCACTGTAGAGGAAAATCAACAATGTGTCACAAGTGATTATCAGTATAGTCAGTGGTCGAATTGAGGGGGGATGAGGGGGCACGGGCATGTGTGCAGGCACAGACGTAATTTCAGGTGGGGACACAGGGGACATGTCCCCCGCACTTCCCGTATCTGTGCCCTCTGTCCCCCTCACTTTTTACAGCCGTTACAACCGTTCAATTCGTTTTTAATATGTGGTTAAGTGTTTTTCCGAGCCATCTTTAAACGCAGGCGCATACACACGCTGTCATGTTGTGATCAGAATGAATGTCACAGACGAGACGTCTGTTACTGGGCAGTTCCGCTATGTTCAGCAAACCAGCCAGCAAGAAGCAAAAAACCTTGCACAGTTTCTTCCAAACAAACTGTGTAAGTTGAATAATGCTGTTGCATGTAGATAATGTTAGCTAATTGATGACTAATTAATAGATGCCAATATATCAAGTTAAGCTAGTTAACAAGAACTCTAATGTTAATGTGTTACATATGTTAAATGCCTTGCTAGCTAGTTTCATGCTAGGAATAAACCCACTCCTCTTTAATAAGAACATGTGCTCACTAATGCTTTGCACATATTTGTTTAATCTTTATTGCTACAATAGAAAGAGCAGGGTCAGGGAGGAGACAGTGGACCAGAGGCCAGCAAGGATGATCATGTAGGGTCCTCATAGGTGAGGAGAGATTATAACTGGCTGAGAGAAAATATCTATAGCACAAAAGTGACTGTGCGATCAATTTCTACAGCTATGTCACCAATACTATTCCTAATTCTATTTATGAATTTTGCTTTGCACATTTATTATCTACTGTATATTATTGCAATAGATAGAAGAGGGACAGGGAGAAACCAGGCAGGTATCAGGACAGGGACCTGACAGCATCACCAATTATCAGTCCAAGGCTCCACAGGTAAGGAGAAATTATAACTGGCTAAGGAAATGTCTATAGGATAAGAATGACTCTAAGATTAATTTTCACAGCTATTTTAGAACTAATCTGATTTATACTCTAAAATGTTTTTGTCTGTATTGCAATAGCACTACTACTGCATTATTTGTGTTTTTAAAGGCAGCAGGTATAGGTCATGCCATTTTTCTTTGTCTTGATTAATTTTGCACATCTGTGCTGTCATATTTGATGATGTGTGCACGCATAAAAATCAAAGCTACATTGCATCCCCCTTGTTAAAAATTAACAATTCGACCACTGAGAATAGTAATAATAATTATACATCTTAACTACACTTTTAAAAAATAAACATCAATTATGATCATCTGTGAGCTCAAATCAAACACTTTACAACAAAAATAGTATATATGTCAATAATTTCATGAGTTTATTTCTATATATAAACACTAAAATGTTGACATTTTTGATATTTGTTTCCAATTAATCAAATTTTCCCACTATACAAACATTATCTGAAAAAAATCCCCATTCAACTCCACAATATTATTTTACTTAAAAGATTTTAAAAGAAAACCCCCACACTGATAGATTCTGTTCATTTCTGTTCATCTGATATCAAAGTCATGTACATATAATATTTGTTAAACATATATCTACATATACCCACACTGTTTGAGTGACTGTTCAGTGCAGAACCATCACAGCACAGAGAGCTGAACAACAAAGATGGAGAGTAAGTTTACCACCTAAAAGTAGATGGACTGAACAGACCTGGCTGCACTCGAGAGCGGGGAGAGGAAAGCAAAATGTGTATTGCTCCCAGTATACCACAAAAACTTCCTGCAATGATAAATATTGCCACTACCTCTGCACCCAGTCCTCTTAGGAATACAGTTTAATGTAGGCTTGGAAAAGCTGTGTGACATTAATAGGTTTGAATTCCTAGATCACTGTACGAGCAACATAACTAATTATTTTGTCTTCTATATAAATAATTCACATTCATGAATTAACAAAACATAATGTTGAACTATAGTTGGAATTTTAACATGTGTTTAAAGGGCCAGTGTGTAATATTTGGCATGGTTTATTGTCAAATCTGAATCTGAATCTGAATATTCTACCCATTAATATGTTTGTGTATAATCGCTATAAAATAAAATTCGTTTTCGGTTTTCGTAGCCTTATAATTATGCTTTTATATATATATATATATATATATATATATATATATATAGCAAGGGCCTTGCTTTACAGGGGTCGCCGTCTTGCTCCACCATGTATGTTCGGCAGACAGAGCAGAGAATTCCAGCCAGCCAGAGAACGCGTTTCGCATGTATAAATAAACCAACAAAGACAGCGGAAGGAAGGAAGAAGGAGGAGGAAACAGCAGAGAGTGTTAGTAGTTTGTTGACAGAGAGTAGTGAAAGGTTTTTTTAGTTATAAAGTTTGCGAATGGACCACACTTACCACGCAACAGGAGAGAATGAACCCGAACCGTCATCTGCGAGGAAAAGAAGACGCAACTTCACTCCTTGTGATGCACTCTCTGCGGCGCTTTTCCTCCTGGTGATATATCTCCCCGACGATGGTAGCAGTAGCACCGAATCCCATTCTGTGCATTCAGCCTCTCTTCTCACCCGCTCAGCATCAAACACATGGAGTTCCTCATCTGTATGCTCCGGCTCAAACAGGTATGGCTCTGGGTCTGTGTCCGCTACAAGAAACTCTTCAAAATCGCGTTCAAAGTCGTCCATTGCAGCTACTATAGTCCGGAGATATTGCTAGGCTAAATAAACAGCTGAGCTCTGTTTACAGGCTACGCTGTCAGTCAGTGTGCGGGCTGGAGATTGGTGGAGCAGAGAGGGGAGGGGGTGCCCGCTAGGTATTGTAAACGAGTATGTGTGTATTAAGTGTGTGTGTTACGCTAGAAGAGTCAGAGTTTGGGACGGAGTCTTTTACCCCCTGGAGTGTTACCGGAGTTTTTGGAGTGCTCAAATAAACTGGCCTTTTCCCCGAACGCTACTCTGGTCTCCTGCTCGTGAGGGATTCATTACAATATCGTAACATAGTTTAGATTTCTAACTAAATATTCACCTCGTTGCTAGGTAGACCTACTCCTGAAAAACTCTTGTCTGCACAAGGCTTTTTGTCCCTACGAGGCCACCGTCATTTACCAGATGGGAGGGGTGAGCGAGTGAGCCCTGCAATCTAGAATTTGACCACTGATGTCACTGTTTTCAACGGTTTTCAACCCATTTTACACACTGACCCTTTAAGATGCATGTATGTCAAAGATAAAACAAAGTTGTTCCACAGTTAAACAGTTCAACTCCTCCTTCACCAGCCAGGAGAGGCCACCACAT